TTAAGAAACTGAGTTAGACAAGGTTTCTCTCTTCAACATACAAACAAATAAAAGTGATAACACAGTGTGGTAATTTTAGTGATCTTGATATGGAACAAGGCATTGTGATAGTTTTCTAAAAGACTGCTTCACCAAATCTTTTTGGATCAGGAAAAACTTCACAGCAGGGGAGATGCTTAAATGTTAAGTAGGGTCTTAGAGAGTCCACTAGAAAAATAAGACCTGTACTGAGCCTGGTGACATTTGATTATGAAGTCATTTTTGTGAAAATTGACCTCTAGGTTCTAAAGTTCCATGTGTTACCTTTGCCGCCCCAACCTCCCCACAGTTGCATGCATGCAACATTTTTTATTTTTCTGTTTCGTTTAGGGCCTTAAATCAACAGAATAACTAAAAAACAGGTGTGATGATATTATAGACTCACTTTTGGGATGTGATTACTGCATGAATGCATATATCCATATTCCAAAGTAGGAATAATAATATGTATATACATAAAATGATCTCATGATGTTAGGACACATTACAAAGTCCTTTTTATCCATTATTTCATTTACTTCTTTTAGAACAGTTTAGTGCTTTTTGGTTTCCTGAATGTTTTAAGCACTCTTACTGATAGATATTAGTACAAGAATTAGCACTGAATAATTATGTATGAAGGATTTGCAAATATTTTTTCTCTCTTTATTCCAAAGTAATCATGCTGTGTTTTCTGAATTTATTTAGATCCCCAAAACAGGTGTCTAGGGAAGAGTCTTTTTACCACTCTTTTCGTCAGCTTTGTCACTTATCAAATGGGAATATTGCTACTATTACTAACAATAACATCGATTTTACCTTACTAGATTGAGGTGGGAGTAAAATCATTATTCTGTGTGAGAACATAATGTGTATAACTAGTCACAATTGGTAATACATTATGTACCTTTTGAGTGACCAGATTGTCAGCTACTTAAGTCCAGGTGAATTCAGCTTAATTAATTATTTTTTACCTGTTTCTCCAAACTTTCTAAGGTAGCTTCATGTTTCCTCTCTTCTGTTTACCCCAAAGTGATTGCTGGCAAGTGCTGTATGTTCAATAGCACTTGTTGAATTATTTATTTTTTAAGATACTACTGACATTTTTATTTAGGATTCCCCAAGCCTCTTACTTAATTTCCAGATTATAAGTTCTTTTGATAGAATCCTTATTAATACCACATGAAGAAGTTGAGCATTACCTTTAGACCAAAGCAATTTATGTTTCAAAAATCTGATTAATTTCAACACAATCAGCGAGGATGTCAGAAGATCTCAGTGCCTCTGATAGATGCTGACAGGTGAGGAAATTAAAATTAGATAGGGAAGCAATTAAATACTGGCAAACATTACTTTAATGAGACAACCAAATCATTCATAAGCCATGGAGTATGTTGTATTCATGATAATTATCTGAGGGTGGCGGGTGAGAGAGTACATTTAAATATATTCTTCATAGAGGGTTTGAGGATGGCAGTAGATGACATTCCATGTTTGTCATCTAATGCCTTTGTCCTAATCTAGCATTTCAGTTGCTCTTGGGGACAGATGTCCTAATAATCATGCTTAAGATTATGACATTGTTTAATTAAGAAGTCTTTGTATAAGTCATCCTTTCACCACCACCTTTACAACCACATAAAACTTACCAAAATGCACAGAGTCTAGACAAAATAATTTCTGGCCTTTTCACAGTGGTTTAGGGATAACCATGGTCAAGACCTGTGAAAATATAAACAGAAAAATATATGTTTCATGCAAATTTTAATTAAAAATATTTTGGAATTATAGGGCTAAGAGCAGAACTCAGGTCCTCAATCTTCATGCAAGTGTTGTTTTCAAGATAACATCCCCTATTCAGAAAGAACATCTGAGACCACACTGCTGAGGAGCTATCCATTTTGGGGATTAGTGGGTGTTTTAAAGGTTCTCTCATATTTCATATTGGAAATATAGCACTCATAAAGTAGCAAGTATTAAGAGGCACCTTTACATTGGTCTCAGCAAATCTAGTGCCAAATGGTTGGAATTTTTGTTCATAATGTTAGAATCATCATCCTAGAGTAACATTGCTTAAAAATTACCTAGGATACAGTGGTCGATTCAAGAGGTATCATGGTTTCTGAAAAACTTGTTGAAACAGGTCTTTCTGTGCTTTTCTTTTCTCATGTTCTTCTATTCTTTTCTGCCTTTTTCCCTTTATACTCCATCCTTGTTCTTTCCACTCTCATGTCCCCTCTGGTTTTAGTTATTCCCTCCTATTTTCCCCAAAATGTAGCAGAAATGATCAATTATTTGATATTAGTCCCAACTAGGTTTGGTGAGTTACGCTTTTGCATAATTCTAATTAATAAGTTGAAGTTTTGTAAGTTAGAGGTTGATTGTACAGGTTCTTTTTTTGCTTGAAATTGCTTTTGGAGATGAGAACATTTTTTCTTGGGAAAGGATGGGTGGTTTGACAAAGGATGCAGACATGCCAGGTTCTGGTTCAGCAGTCATGAAATACACAAAGGCAGCAAAGGATACTGGCTTCATTACCAAGATGCTAGAATGGGATTTGTCAGTTGTCCCAGATCACTTTCTGGGTCTAGTGGAGAACTCCATTGCATCAGGAAACAATCAAGAGTTCCTGAGGACACATGACACTAAAATCATGTGATGAGGGCTGGTGAAGCCTTCTTAGCTGGAAGGCTTCAGCTTTTCTACTGCTTGAGACTTACTGATGAAGTCCCCTTTTTGAAAATTTCATGGTGTCAACTTCTGTTGTTTCTGTGGCTTGTGTTTTGAGAGCTTGCTCAAGGATGTTGCATCTTTGAAACCTCACTGGCAAGAGCTGAGAAAGTGTTCATTGTAACCCTGCATCTAACACTCCTTCTGCATCAGCTCAGTAATGTGTTACCTTCTGGTTAGACCACAGATGTGAAGTTTTCTCTCTCCTTTCACTTGCCAGTGAAGCAGGACTCAATACTGAATGTGTTTTGGTGCCTTGACAATTGACTTTTCTATGGTAGAGACTCGTTTTCCTTTTCCCTACAAGTAGAGCACTCCCAAATGGGAGGCTGCATTATGAGTGGGAGGGTCCTTACTGGTTTCGGTGTCAAGGCACATGGTTATTTTTTTATCTGTTTCATATTAACCATGTAATCATTGATATTTGGTTTCCTTGTTGGTAAAATTGGGGTTATAATGACAATTATTTGAGATAAGACAGTCATGCAGGCCCTGGCAGGTGGGGCTCGGTTGGTTGGGCATCATCCTATGCATGGATGGGTTGCTAGTTCGATTCCTGGTTGGTGCACATACCCAGGTTGCAGTCTCTTTCCCCTATAGGGGACATGCAGGAGGCAATTGATCAATGTCTCCCTTTCACATCTCTCTCTCTCTCTCTCTCTCTCTCTCTCTCCCTCCCTCCCTCCCTCCCTCCCTCTCCCTTCCTCTTTCTCTAAAAATTAATTTAAAAATCCTTAAGAAAAACAAAAACAGTCATGCAATATTTTCCACATGATTAATGTTTTGATTTTGGTGGCATATGACAAGAAGTTTTTGTAGTGCATCTTATCTATCATGTTCTATTCTTTTTTTAAAAAAATGTTTTATTGAATTTTAGAGAGAGAAGAAAAGAGAGGGAGAGATAGAAACATCTAAGAAAGAGAAACATCAACACCTATCAGCTGCCTCCTGCATGTCCCATGCCGGGGATGGAGCCTGCAGCCTGGGCATGTGCCCTGACCAGTGACCTCCTGGTGCATAGGCCAATGCTCAACCACTGAGAGACACTGGCCAGGCCCATGTTCTGTTCTTAATCTGATTTGAGTCTTATATGAAAATGAGATATATTACAAAAACTTCCTAGAGGTCTTATAATTCTCAGTAAATCTATCCATTGTATTAAAGCAAATGCTTTCATTGCAGTCTTATTAGAAGCACCATCTCTCTGAACCTAAGGCACTATATAAGCACAAACTTTAAAAGGACTTGAGATATGCCTGCAGTCTTTGACTTAGTTTAGGGGCTGAGGAGTCACTTGATTTTTTTATTTTGAGGCTTTGCCTTTTAGAACAGAAGTTCTTTGGGTTGTTGTTAGGTGAGGCTATGTGAGATTGACATAGATAAATATTGCAGTATTTTAGGGGCACAGAATACCCAGCCCAAAGCTATTTTGTAGCATCATGCTTATAACATCATTGTTTTATCATAAAAACAGGCTCATAGAAAGAAATATTATAGTTGTGTGTATCACCACTGTCCATATATATTGTTATGAAATAATGGAGGAAAATTTCCCAAATAATGTTTAAGTGAGCTTTGGCTATAAAGCAGATATTATAATCTTCATTTACATATAAGGAAATTGACACTCAGATAGTAACTTGCCTAAGGCCATTGGTGAGAGGAAGACGAGTTTGACTAGCTCTAAATCCCATGTGTGTGTGTGTCCTACTTCCTCATGTCAGTCAAATAGTTAGTTTTATCTTATTATTCCCCCTTTCACCAAGCCTAGTAGATCAAGTCAATGAGCTGTTAAGTCTTTGTGTTTTCCCAACCTCATTTATTAGGAGAAACTGAGGTATAAGGAAAAAGACCACTAGACCAGAGGGTCCAAAAATCATACCCTGCCCTATACTGTACTATGTAGTTTTGGCAAGTTACTTACCTTTCCTGAACTCAGTTTCCACATCTATAAAATGAAGACGATAATACCCACTTCACATGGTATTTGTGCAGTTTATTGTGAGAGAGATGTTGGTTCCCTTCTCATCTTCTCTATCCCTCAGTGAGCTTTTGTTTCCCCACCTATGAAGTCAGTAGAATAATCTCTTCCTGCTTCTTCATCAGGTTGGTGTGGGGTGAAATGCGAATACGAATGTGAAAATGTTTTGCAAAACAAGAAACCACTATGTAGATATAAGAGTTTATGATTATTTAGAAATAAATATGGCTTAGTACCTAAGAGTAATTTTTACCCAATCTTTCATTTACAGACTAGTGTTGAAGTTTGCTGAAGCTTGTGTCCACTGACCATCCTACGAGGTAAGAGAGGATTGGCTTCGTGCTTATGAAATGCTAATAGGCATCATAGGCAATAATGTTTAAAGTTGATTTCACTCCCAACAGAAGGAACACAAAGGTCTTTCATGAGCACCCAAACTGAAGAATGATCAAGACAATGAACTGCCCTCCTTTTATGTCTCCTTGACTTAATTTTCCCTTTCCATTCTTACTCCTTAAGGTTTAATACCAAAAGCTCAAAAATCTGGGCCATGCAGAAGATTTTGATTTAATGAGTATTTAGGTGTTTATAATATGCTATGTACTAGAATGTTCTTATCTATTGTCATCTTGTATGCTTCAATACCATGTGACAGGAGGACTTTCTCTCTAGTTTACTGGCCCCTATTTTTTAAAAAAATATATTTTTGTTGTTTGAGATAGGAAGGGAGAGAGAGATAGAAACATCAATGATGAGAGAGAATCATTGATCGGCTGTCTCCTGCACACCCCACACTGGGAATAGAGCCTGAAACCAGGCATGTGCACTCACTAAGAATTCAACCATGACCTCCTGGTTCTTAGATCAATGCTCAACCACTGAGCCATGCCAGCCAGGCTCCTGGCCCCTTTTTTGAGTGCATTTTTCATTTCATTTTGCTGCCAGTTTTACCTGGCTCTGAAGGGACCAAACTTTACTATTTAGGTCCATCACCATCTCTTATCTGCTCCCCAAAACATCTCAAAAATATATAATCCAAGGTTACAACAACCACAATTCCTAGGAATAATAAAATGAGTTAGAGTCTTAAAATCCAGGATCCATAATATCTTCATGCTACTCTCTTAAAGGACCTGTGTGAAGGAGATCGGCCTTTTCCTGAAGAATACATTCTTCTCAAGTTTGTCCAGAAAATGGATGCCAGAAAAAAAATTGAAAGAAGCATGATAGTTGTAAAAGTTTCACAATGTGAATTTTTTCCTACCTCTTAACTAGCTGATATCTGCACTTCCAGGTTCTCTCTGCCCAGTTCTATGACATCATTTAGAAATCTTAGGCAAAAAGAAGGGTAGTAGTTAATATGGTATTCCTAACTGCAGGATTGGTATCCTAGCATCTTTTTGGAAGATCTGATATCAACATAAAAATAATGTAATTGCTTCTGCTTAATATTTTTATTTCTTTGTTATGTTATTTTCATGATCTTGCATGATCTTGAACTTGTAACATGACTTTAGTTACATAGACATTGAAAATAATTGAAGTTTATCGACATGGCTCCATATTTGTAGGAGTTAGCGATTTAGAATTAGTGGAAATTATGGTTTTACATTAATATGATTTTCAAAGCTAATATTCACCATAAAATTGAATAAAAAACATGTCATGTGCAAATAAGGCGGATGGTATATGGGTGGCTAACCTCCTCTATAATTAGATCAGATGTAGCAGCCACTTGTGTGTTAGTTAGATTTTATTCTCATGACTGCAAAGAGAGGGTTACAAGAAATGGTAGTGGCTAAAAATACAAGAATGGCTCCTGCCCATCATTCGGTCCCTCTATAGTCCATAAAATACCCCTGAAAAACTCTCCTTTTTCATGTATTTCATGTATTTTCATGGATAAATATATCAAAAAAGAATGACTGTAGACATGTAATAATAGATTTTGATAGCTCTGTTAGAGATCTAACTTACTCATTTAGAAACTGCAAACATTATATTAACTTTTCTCCAAGTGCTAATTGTTAAATATTAATAGAATAAGCTTTGAAAAATGGTAAACTGCCATCCTCCTTTCCACTGAAACCCATATTGAAACTACAAATAGGGGTTTAATCAAGCCTGGAAAAATTGCTAATAAGAAAGAGGGATTTCCTATCTATCTATCTTGCTCTATCTATCTATCTATCTATCTATCTATCTATCTATCTATCTATCACCTACCTACCTATCATCTATCTATCTATCTATCTATCTATCTATCTATCTATCTATCATCTATCTATCATTTATCCATCTCTTTATATCTTCTGAATTTTGGAGGTAGGTGCTGGTGGGGAGAGGAGGATAAAAACTTTCCAAATAACCTTTGGAAAATGGAGAAGGAAATATCTTGGGGACCTGCTATAGAATTTAAAATAATCTTGTGGTAAGAATTGGTATCAGTGGCAGTAATGAAGAGAGAATAACAGTTTAAATAAATAATTAGACTTGACAGTAGATGTGTCAACAGGTACCCACTTAATGAGTGTAATCATTGTTTTTCTCTGCTCTTAACGTTGATCCACTGACTGTGGTGTGTTCCCTGTCCCATTTCCAAACCAAGACTATTTAAAGCTGCACTTTATGGAATCTGAAACTGTATACCCTGTTTACTATTTTGAGCTGATACCCAATGTTCTTTAATAGGCAAGATCCGTACTTGAACAAGAACCGGCTTCTGGCCTCCTGAACACCGTTGATTATTCCTGTTTTCCACAGTCTGATTTATTAGCAAGGATGAATAATACCCAATTAATTTTCATGGACTTGTTTATATTGCTAAAGTGACTTGTTTATTACAATTTGATGGAACAACCCTAGTCTGCCTTAAATCAAATTCATCAGTTATTGTTTTCTGAGGTGGGTATAGAGGCAGTAGTTTTAAATTAAATTATCTTTTGTAGTTACTTGGATAGGAAAGCATTGTTTTGGGGAGTGAAGCAGTATGTTTTATGTTATGGTATGTGAACCAGAAGTCATGAGAATCGAATTCTAATCCCAGCTCAGGCCATGTCCCTTAGGCAAGTCACTTTTTCTCTCCAGGGCCCACTTCAACATCTCACAACAGATGGAGTAGGACCAGTTGATCAAGGCATTGCTTTAGTCAAATGTCTTATTATCTGCGATGTTACTTCCTAGCCCCTTCTTTCTCCCTTCTGCTGCTACTTTTCCAAAGTCAGGAAAATTCTATGACTCTACGAGAGACCCTGTGTGAAAGTAGTTATTTTTCTATTTAGCTTTTGAATCTTTTACATACTAAAAGAGCTTGTAATTATACATTTGAATTGATTGGGCATTTATGTGTTGGTCATCCACTACCTCCAGTAACATCAAGTTTTTGGTTAGAAAAATAAAAATAAATCATCTTTCCCCATGTTTCTCTACTCCATAACCTGATCTCTTTCCTCCACCTGTTTTCTGATCCAATGAATGATAGGAAGCTGAGGATGAGCTCTTAGCTGACTGTTTGCTGTGCATAGTTGGGAACATCAATAAAGAGAAGACAGATGAAGGAATAATAATCAAGAGAACAGGAGAATAATAGCCAACAGAGAGAAATATAGCTCAAGGCCTGCAATTCCCAGTTGCCGTGCTACACAAGATTAATAACAGCATCTCTCACTTTCAGGCTTTCTCTCTGCCTTATTCTTGTGGGACTGGGCTGGGACTGAGAAGCAGCTGGAATGAACTTTGCCAAAACCAAACTCATGTTTTCATGACATTTCTAGGTCCAGAGAAGAGAATAGTAATTATCTATTAATTAGAAGATAATGTAGAAGCCTCTGGATATAAACACTAATCATGGTCCTCCTAATACTGAGATACAGACTGTGGAAATCATTTCATTGAGTCTGAGGTTCAAATTCTGTATATAATTTATTGGATATGACTTTGGTGAAAGGATGATCTTCCTTTGAACCTTACTTTCTTCATGAATGAGATGGGAGAAGGAGGAGGGTAGAACAGCTGAGAACAAAGATTCCCCCAGCCCTGGTTTTCATGAATCTCTGTTTTGCCCTCAGTCCCATAGCAAGTTTACCCCCAAGTCTGGTCTTGAATTCAGCTCCCCTCTCTCTGAATTGGACGTCATTATTTCTTGCTCAGTTGACAGTTTACCCTTTCTGTAAAGGTATTTGCCTAATACCGTTGTTCTTCGTGTGTGTGTGTGTGTGTGTGTGTGTGTGTGTGTGTGTGTTTGTCTGTGGGCATGCACAAGCATATATGTGTGAGTGTGTGTGTGCTTGGGAGTAGGGGAGAGGGTTATGGAATATTTGGAAGCTCATATATGAATCTATAAAAAGGTTAGAAAATGTTGTCTATACTTTCAATTTTGTAGACCTTTTGAAGGCCATGCTTAGGTTCTAGGTTAAGCAAAAGATAATTTTAGAGTGGGAAGTCAGAGGTGACATTTGAGTAACATACACTTCCTGTTGTTGTAGGATTTTTCCCATAATTCACATATTTTTCTACTCTGAGTCTCAGCCTTATTTATGAGCATGACTCTGGCCTTTTACTTGTGTCAAACTGATGAGTGATGTTTTACTATTGAAAATTCTATCCTGCTTGCTTCATTCATTCATTCACTCATTAAAATTACTTATATATCATACAATATCCTAAATGTTAGCCATTTTAATATATTATTTCATCTAATCTCATAAAGTAGAAATTATTTTCCCCATTTTTCAGATGCAGCAACTAAGATCAGAGAGGTTGAGTAATTTGCCCAAAGTCATACAGCTAATAAATAGCACAGTCTGGATTTAAATCTAGATTTGCTCCCAAATATGTGAGTATCTGCAGAGATAATACTGAATACAAATAGGAACAATGAAACAATACTATAACCCTTAGAAATCAATTATATGACAGGTAATTAATTAAATGCTTATCTGGTACCTTAATGTAGAATCAGAAATGTTGGATAGTTGTATAAACTGTGTTATAAATAACTCATATTTTTCCTTTTTAAAAAACTCCTCTCAGGTTAGTGGTTTCAGTTCCTCCATTTTTGTAAGTGAGAGATGGAGGCGACAAAGAGTGATAAGGGTCAAAGTACCCTGATCATATGGTGAGTTATCAGCTGAATTGGAATTTTAATTCCTTGGAGAATCCATTTGTTGTTTTCTCTCTGTTATATTGAGTGTGGGATTTTAACAGAGATAGACTTCTGACCATGCATAAATCAGCACAAATGCAGATGTGAGCAGCTAGAAATTGGATCCTGCCAAGATGTAATGACTGCCACATGTGTGAAGTTAATGCTCAGTGCTTA